AGATGGGCCAGTTCGACCTCGCCCACAGGTACGTACCATCAATGAAACCCCCAGCTGCCTGTGTACGACTACTCTTGCATGCATCATGCTGACACGACGGCCGGCCGGCGACCATGCTGATCCTGCAGGGTGGTGTTGGCGCCGTTGACGAGGCAGCGCTCCTATGGCAACGTGCCGCAGCCGCATGCAGCTGTGTACTACTCCCAGCGTGCCACCGCTGGCGGCCTGCTCATCGCCGAGGCGACAGGGGTCTCCGACACGGCGCAGGGCTACAACGACACGCCAGGGATCTGGACGGCGGAGCACGTCGAGGCGTGGAAGCCCATCGTCGCCGCCGTCCACCAGAAAGGTGCGCTGTTCTTCTGCCAGATCTGGCACTGCGGCCGCGTGTCCACGTTCGAGCTGCAGCCCGGCGGCACCGCACCACTGTCGAGCACAGAGAAGGGGGTCGGCCCGCAGATGAGCTTCGACGGCCGGCTAGAGGAGTTCGCGCCTCCGAGGAGGCTGACGGTGGAGGAGATACCTACCATCGTCGACGACTTCAGGAAGGCCGCCAGGAACGCCATCGACGCCGGTACGTACCTACAGTTGGACGTTGACACGCCAGCCTTCTGTTCAGAAATGCTCGGTCAAACATTGCTTCCCTGGACAGCCAAAAAACATAAATTTACCTTTTTAGCAGAAAATTATACTGTTAGTTATCCAATGAAAATAGTTTCACAGCGAATAATCCTTTACAAATCATCCCTTAACATGTAAAAATATAGAGTAGAGTGTCCAAAGTTTGTATCTCGGATACTGCGTCCATGTCTAAAATGGTCGTATATCTTGGAATGGTGCTCTCATCTCTCGTACATGGATGGTTTGGCCTGGCAGGTTTCGACGGCGTGGAGATCCATGGCGCAAACGGGTACATCATCGAGCAGTTCCTCAAAGATAGTGCCAACGACCGCATAGACGAGTATGGCGGTAGCCTAGAAAACCGGTGTCGTTTCGCTCTCGAGGTGGTTGATGCTGTCGTCAAGGAGGTCGGCGGCCACCGTGTGGGCATCCGCCTCTCCCCATTCACCGACTATATGGAGTGCCATGACTCTGATCCCCACTCCCTTGCACTTTACATGTCCACCAAACTCAACGATCACGGCATCCTGTACATCCACATGATCGAGCCGAGGATGGCCATTGTGGACGGGCGAAGAGTGGTGCCGAAGCGGCTGCTGCCATACAGAGAGGCGTTCAAAGGGACCTTCATCGCAAATGGTGGATACGACCGTGAAGAAGGGGGCAAGGTGGTCACCGAGGGGTACACTGACTTGGTGGCCTTCGGGCGGCTATTCCTGGCGAATCCCGACCTGCCAAAGCGGTTCGAGGTCGGCGCGGAGCTGAACAAGTATGACAGAATGACCTTCTACACGTCTGACCCCGTCGTTGGCTACACCGACTACCCATTCCTCGAGTAATCATCGGTGGAGCTTCTTTCTTGGATGATGCAATTAATTGTACCACAGGGTCTGTAATTAAATGTATGTGTGAATGATGTGCTTCATCCAGCAATAAACTTTTTATGATGATTGCTGCAGCTGCTCAACTCTTTGTAGAAACATTGCTTTCTCTATCCCAAAGTATAAAACACAATTTTTACAGTCTCCCTACACTATTTCAACTATTATTTCCATTTATAAAAACAGTAAAAGGGCATATGACATAAGGTTCTTTTGCAAGGCAATCATTTCTCAAAAGTCAGAGGGAGATCCTAAGTTATACGAGCTCATATCAAACCTGACATGGAACTGTATCGTGGTCGCTTAACAGAATGTTAGTTTTATCATTGGGATATCTTATGCTCCTTTCATTTTCAAATAGGTGACTTTTAGTCTCTTCATTTCTGAAAAAGTGTCATTGTATTTTCAATGCAATTTTTAGTCACATATGTTTGTATTTTAATAGCCCAAGAAAAAAGTAGAGTCCTCGCCCCTCTCGCAAAAGGACGTGGCAAGAAAATGGTAAGCATTAGTGAAGTTATGCAAGTCCTTCCCTTTTGCTTGGAGGAGCTCACCGTAATCGGTTCTAATGAATAGTGGCTTTTCAATGCCATGCTCATACCTGCATCAGAACCAAACGCCCCATAGAAAGGTTGAGAGGAAAAATCGGCCTTAAGTACAAATACTATGTGTAATTCGTTGTTCTAAAAAAATGTGTAATTCGTTAGTCTGGTCCGCCCAAGCTTTTTCTTTAGCTTGGCCTCTGATAGGCTAGGAAAACAACGAGAAAAAACCCACCGCGAGAGATGGGGTAAAAAACTCGTTGATTGTGTATGTGTCGTGTGTATGATTCTTGTTGCTTGCTTCACATAAATTAGTGCAATTATGGTGAGGAGTGGCTCAAATAATTCGATCACTAAATTACTATGTGGGAATGCATGTTCATTGTACGAAAAATAGTTATTAATTTTGGATACACTCGGCTAAACTAATTCGGTCAGTGGTTAGCGTGGGATGCAGACTAATTAGTTTATTCATCACAACCACATGGCCATCAGTCGCACCTCTGCTCTCCTTCCTACCTCCCCGACTCATCTTCGACTACTCTACAAGCCGCACGCGTCCTCCCCATGGAGCCCCATGACCTAAAACCCTTTCCCGCCAGTCATGGCTCCGGTAGCCGCCGTCGTCCCTCCATGGGAACTCGTCCCCGTCGTCAAGGTCCAACAAAGGGTAGCAACAAGTGTAGGGCGAAGATCCTGGCCTTCTAGTGCCCCACTGCCCTCTGCTTGGTGGTCGCCATAGACGCCGGGCCTCCGTTCTCCTGGGGCTGCCCGTGGTGGTCCTCCAGCAGAGCTCGATCGACACCGAGCAAGGGGGCCGGTCAGCTACATGAGAGAGACTAGGGATTTGAGAAAAATAAAGGGCTCGGTTGCTTTTTGTAAAAAGTGAGAGAGGGATTCGATAATTGACTTCTAAGCCCAGGCTTAGCTGCACCCACGCCGACGAAAAAAATAAAAAATAAAATACTAGAAAAATTCCAAAAACAATTTGTGCCATAGATAATTTTATGTGTGAGGTCCACTTCAATTTTCAAATCATTTGGACACCGGAGCTGCGCTCGGCAAAAAAGACAAATTCGGGATCTGTAAAAAAAGTTATTGTTCATGCACTATTCTGGCCCGATTTGTTTTTCTTTTTTGCTGAGAGCTGCTCAGATGTCCAAACGATCTGAAAATTGGACCGGACCTCACCCAATAAATTTTCTACAATGCAATCTTCTTGAATTTTTTTGTATTTTTTTTCTGACCGGATGTAGATGAGCCTGGGCTTCTATAAAAAGACAGGGACTAGAATGATAGCCCAAAAACATGACAAAAGCAAAAACATCTACATCGCATGTCTACTTAGCACAAAATACCCGTAAAATCCAATTTGATGAATTTGGGAGTCAAAATGTGGAAATAATCTTTAATTTTGGTATTAAAATGTGACTGGATCTCGATTTGAGGTCAATTTCTGTCACTAGCGTTAATTTTGGGGGTAAAAAATGAAATTAACTCTTAAACCAAAGGATCTCTAGCTTAATTTTTTTTCTAAGATAAAGTTGAAGGAGCAGTTGCTAGGTGTGCATAATCTATTTTTCCCCTCCAAATACGACTCTAACATGCATCAACTTAGTTTCTTTCCAATAAAATAATTCTATTAGCACTAAGAACTAGACACAGTACCACTTGTATGGTGCCTTTTCTTCTGTTTGCGTATGCGTGTGGAGTCACGTCGTAAGTAGTAGATCATGGATTTCAGGGAAACAAAGCTTTTATTCGTGTTTGTTGGTAGCTCTAGTGTTGCTCCTTGCGCAAATATGAAAAGATAAGAGATGCTCTGGTGCAGCAAAATTTCTGGTCTACCTAATCAGGGCCGGCCCTGGGTAGGGGCAAGAAGTGCGATGCCCTAGGGCCCAATGAGGGGCCCGACCCTGTGCACAATCCGTAGCCCAACAACTAGCTTACTATTATTACTAGGTTACTTGTTTCTGAAAAAAAAACTATTAGGTTACTTCATTGTGAAAGGCACTAATCCAGTTTCAAATCGATGGATCCATCTCGTAACACTAGCCGCCGTCGTTTCTTCTTCCTCTGCCTAGCAAATTAATGGCTATTGCCGTTGTAGATGATTTTATTTTGAACCACTTTCAGTTTCTCCATCTCACCCCCTTATGGATTAGCCTATAAGTTTTCCAATCCAACAGACGGCAGCACGCAGAGGCAACACTTCACCAGCTGAGTTCCTTTGCAAGTTGAAACATGACTGTTTCTTGTGTCAAAGGCTTACAAAGTTCTTGTAATTTATGAGTCTTTTTTCGCTTGATCTTTGTACTGATTGTTTTATGCATGACGCCGGTACGTACCACGTATATATGCTGTTGATATCGCCAACACGACAAGCATGTTTGTTTTAGAAAAAAAAACAAGTTTAAGTTCAGCTAAAATTTTCCTTTCTTTGGCAACTACTTCCCTCCATAAAAAGAATGATCTAAACACTCTTATATTTCTTTACGATGGAGTAACTAACAAATTATTTTGTGAAGTAGAAATTGTATCATTACATATTTTTCATGATCTATTTTGGAAATCCGAATTTGTACATTTATTTACTTTTGTTAGGTACAAATTACGTATTTATACTTTTTAGAAAGTAGCCTTAATATTTGCTAACATGTCTATATAAAATACTGCAGTGAAAGTTGGGTGCCGAAGATATCTAACATGGCATGTATTCTAGATTGATAAAGCAATTCACTTCTTGGTTGTCGCAGGTTTTGACGGCGTGGAGATCCACGGTGCAAACGGGTACATCATTGAGCAGTTTCTGAAGGATAGTGTCAATGACCGCACCGACGAGTATGGTGGTAGTCTTGAGAACTGGTGTCGCTTCGCTCTTGAGGTGGTCGACGCTGTTGTGAAGGAGGTCGGTGGCCACCGTGTGGGAATCCGCCTCTCCCCTTTCGCCGACTACATGGACTGCCACGACTCTAACCCCCACTCTCTTGCGCTCTACATGTCTACAAAGCTCAACGACCACGACATCCTCTACATCCACATGATCGAGCCGAGGATGGCCATCGTGGATGGCCGGCGAGTGGTGCCGAAGCGGTTGCTGCCGTACAGAGAGGCGTTCAAAGGTACCTTCATCGCCAATGGTGGGTATGACCGTGAGGAAGGGGGCAAGGTGGTCGTCGAGGGGTACACTGACCTAGTGGCCTTTGGGAGACTATTCCTAGCGAACCCAGACCTGCCAAAGAGGTTTGAGGTTGGTGCGGATCTGAACAAGTATGATAGGATGACCTTCTACACCCGTGACCCCGTCATTGGCTATACCGACTACCCCTTCCTCCAATGATTTAGATGTAACTTCTCTTTCTTCGACGACGCAATTAATTGTGGTCATAATTAAATTTATGTGTAAGTGTTGTATTTTTTTAAGATCTTAGAGCTAGCGAGTAGCAGAATTGAGCAATCCCGGGACGGTGTGGCTGAGCCTGGGGCCAGCGCACGTAGAGGATAAAGATCTCAGAGGTAGTGTAAGTGTTGTATTTCGTCGAGCAATAAACTTTTGTATAGTGTAAGTGTTCAAGTTTTTTTATAGAAGCACCACTCTATCCTTCCCAAAATATAAGACTTGTTCAGGTCTGTAATCTTCGATAGTACACTATTTCAACTATGTTTTTCATTTAATAAAAATCAGTAAAAGGACATATTCCAGAAAAAGTCGTTTGCTAGACAATCATTTTTCGTAAGTCAGAGGGGGTCCTAGGTTGCACGAGCTCGAATCAAGCATGCATGCCATTATTAGTCCTTTATTTAAAAAACTAGCCTTATATTTTCAGTGCAAATTTGTAGTTACATGTATTTCCGTTTAAGTAACCAAAGAAAACAGTGTAGACCATACTGTTTATTGGAAAAAGGGTGGCACACTATTAGAAAAAAGCTTTATAGGTTAACTAAAAAAAGTGACGTGCAGGATGAGGCACCCGCCACTGCAAGTTTTTTTAACACAATACGGACGCAAACGCTTATATATACACGAATACGCTCACCCCTATGAACGCGCACACACACCCTACCCCTATGAGCACCTCCGAAAGACTGAGCCGGCATATCATCTTGAAATTTATAAAGTAATCGTAGGCACCTCTTAGTCGATGAAAACATCTCCTCACACTGAATGCGCATCGCCGAAATTTCTGAAATAAATCCAGAAATAAATGAGAGCACCAGGATTGGAACTCTGATGGGCTAAAGATATCACAGTCCCTCTAATTAACCATCCAACCATAAGTTGGTTCGCCGCCACTGCAAGTTAGGAGAAGCAGCAGTGGCGGGTGACACAAACGTGACCGCCCGAGCTATCGGTATACCAGCGGCGGGCGAAATACATTACCCCCCACAAACAAGCACCGTTGAGCTTGGCTACTTTATGAACACTTGCTGTGGCGAGTGACTAGGCGTACCAGCCACTGATGTTATAGGCATCAGTGGCGGGCGGGCCATAGATGAATGTTTGGAACCGATTACTTTTTTATGCTGATATTAGCTATGGCAGGCATCCAATCGTGCCTGCCACACATAGGTTAGCTCTCGACTGTTCAAATTCAACTAGAAGATTGCCGCCCGCCATCCCAAATTAGCGGTGGCAGGTCATCTGGTGCGTCCGTCGCACGTATTGAGCACTATCTGCACGCGCGCGCCCCTCCCCTCCCTACCCCACTCTCACTCTCACTTTCACTCTCTCCCGCATCTCGCCCTCGTCGCGGCCCTCGCCCTCCACCGCGGTGCTGCGCACGAAGTCATCACCGTCGGCTACCGCCATCGTCCTCGCCGTACTCGTCGCCGCCCTCGCCCTCGATCCTCCGTCCCCGTCGCCCTTGCCTTCGATCCGCCACCCATTCGCCCTCCGCTCCAGCAGGTATTACGTCGCCGTCCCCGCCTCTCTTTCCGGCAATCCTCGTCGCCACCTGCGGCCACGGCCACCACGCACACGGGTAACCATGGCAGCACGCCACGTTTGACTAGGGTTAGGGTTAGGGGTTTGATAGTTGAAGTTTTAGTTTTAGTTTCTAGCTAGTTTAGTTTGATAGTTGTAGTTTCTAGTTGTATAGTTTAAGTTGTATAATTTACCATGATCGGTAGGAGTTTTTGGAAGGCGGTCGTTCCCTCCTTCATCTCCATGTTCCTTCTCAGGCTTATCTCCTAGACAGACTTCTTGGAAAATGCTCCCCTGGATTTTCTCCCATTGCTCGATTATCTCCTCGGATTTGTTTATGAGGTTATGTTCCTACAACATAAAGGCTTGGGAAGCGGCAGTACACTTCTCATAATCTTTAATCAAAGGGGCATTATGGAGGTTGTTAGTAATACACCATTTATAACTACTCTCCATCAACACAATATATTTCAAGACCTCTTTATGTTGTAGAGAGAGCTCCTTCACCCTGTTCATCAGTTCTAATGTTCTGTAATAGAGCATTAGTCCTCAATAGCTGCAACAAGATCAAATATGTAGCATTCATGGTTATATGCAGCTACAACAGGGTTAGGGTGAAGTTTACAGCTAAAGCTCATATGGCAATTAGTCTTACAATGTTCACACGATGATGGATACGAAAATATACCTTTAGCGTAATAATCCAATGCCTCCAATGTATCACCCATTTCAATAACTTTAAATGAATATCGTTATTGAGCATATATTGGTCCTCTTTCTTCATTTTGTTCCCTTGTAGCCTTTCTAATTTCTGCATAAGATATCTCAAAACAAGACATTTTTTGGTTGTTAAATAGCAATGGACATAAATAAACTATATGCGAGCGGGTAGGTAATAACCAAGCGCTATACTCCCCGCCAATGGTGCTATAAAATGCTTGATGGCTTGCAAGTGCAAAGGGATGTTGTAGAACTTTCATGATAAGTGAAATGTCGAACCCATAGGGAGCAAATATGAAAGAATTACAAACCCCACAACTATGCTATCACTTATGTTACGTACGCACCCAAACTGTAGTTTGAAAATAGCCTACTTTAGTAAGTTGCTAGGAACACAGATAAAAAGTATAGTGTTTACTAAACTACATTAAGTTCTAGGGTTCTCCAATAATCCCTATTGCAATGATCAGGGACGAAACGAGAATAGGACTGTCGTTACCTACCCTCCACTACTACTACCCTTCTCACCAATATAAATCACCTTAAGTCCATAAGTGGCTAATGTTGTGTGGGCGCCCTTCACAACACCATGAGACAAACAATGCAATACGTATAAAGAGAATATATGATCGCTTATTCAATAAAGTACCAATCATGCAAGGGTTCATCCAATTACACAAGAACTAACAAAACTACTCAAACATCATAGTGGGAGAGAGCAATTTACAAGCCGACGTGAAGCCGGTGGAGGAGAGGGGCATGGCGGCACCGGTGTTGATGATGATGGTGTGCCCGCGGTTAAGACCGCTCCGACCCAAAGGTCGGTGCGCATGGTCGAGGCACCCCTTCTTCTTCCTCTTCTCTTCTCTATGGAGGTGGTCTTGGAGCAACAATGGAGCGGGATGACGGCTGCGTGGATGAATGAATGTGGAGATAGCGGCGACTAGGGTTGATCGTGCTTATATGAAGGCCTCCCGGTATCTCATCCATTGATGTGGTCATCCAAGGGCTCAAGATGGGACTTATCTTCTCCCAATCCCTTCATTATGAGCCAAGGATCTCATGGGAACAATTTGGGACGAAATTGGCGCAGAACCCTTTCTGGAAGGGCTACTTTCGGAGCTTTCTATACTTCAAATGACTGCCCACTATAACCTCCTCCGGTAAAACGGTCGCCATTTCTTTATACAAACTCGAAATTTGACGTTCTTGGGCTCCTTGGATTCGTATGAACGATGCCAATACATTTCTGGTCTTAGATCTTGATTTAGAGCACTTTGGAAAAATGACTTTTTCTGACCTTCAAAATGGCTAACTCTGACCCTGGTTGACTGCGTATTGAACCCATCCTTGATCCTTTCATCGTGCTTAGTCCTAGGTTACTCCAATACACCTATGGACACAAGAAAATAAAGGAAACTAATAAAAACATAATATATACACAAATGTGCAATGCTCACAGTGATAAGTGAAAAACGGGTAATCATGCATAATGGACATATATTTGGTTCAACGGGACATGATATATGAAGAGAACATGCAATAAATGAGCTCTTAAAATGCATAAAACATAGAGTAATCACCTTCCACCAAAGGAAATTTGATTCCCCCATAGTTTCCTGTGTGGATTTCGTTTGGGTGTTTGGCCACCCTAAACGGAAGAGCTCACCTCGGAGCCAAGTGTTTGGCCACCCTAGATGGAAGAGCTCACCTCGGAGCCACATTACATTGTGGTGAAGTTCTGTGGTGGTGTTGGGAGTCTCCAATTAAGTTGTGGAGAGAGCCCCAACCTTGTTTGTAAAGGTTCGGTTGCCGCCTTCAAGGGCATCACTAGTGGAATCACGACATTTTGCATTGTGCGAGGGCGTGAGGAGAATAAAGTGGCCCTAGTGGCATCTTGGGGAGCATTGTGCCTCCACACCGCTTCAATGAAGATGTACTTTCCCCTAAAGAAAAGGAACTTCGATAACACATCCTCCTCTTCACCGACTCCACTTGTGATTATTTCTTACCTTAATTTGTGCAAGCTATTGTGTTGTATCCTTTGCTTGCTTGTGTTGCGATTGTTTGTTAGCATCATATAGATGCTTCACCTAGTTGCATATCTAGACAACCTATTTGTTGATAAACTTAATTTGCTTAGAAGAGCTAAA